CGAGATAATACCCAGAATAATAAACGACCAACAAGAATAATTAAAAGATTTATTTAGAATTTCGCGATTTATGGATACTGAGAGACTCGCCGGCTCCGATTGACATTAAATCGTCAGTAAACAAACAAGTAGGCCGAGATTTTATGACAAAATCAACAAAACCAACGTTTTGTCATCTAGCAACAAGCAAATTAACGGCAATAATGGCACGTGGACATGCTGCTGCCTGGCAACTGTGGCACACGTGACCGTAGTAACTGTCACTGGCGACAATGTACGACACAGCCTGCTTATTTTGCAACAAAATGACACGATCAGAATTCTTATTCCAAAGAATGACACTTACTAAAAATTGTAACCAATATTTATACAAAAATTGCAAAAAAAAACATTCTTACATGGAGTGTAATATCGAGAAATCGAGATAATTTGTAATCGAGTCATCTTTGGATCCGAAAACGTATGTCTGTTTTTGAAGTCAGTGTACGTGAAACGTCAAATAAAATGCCAAGTCGAGAGATAAAACGACAATATAGGCTGAAATTAGTCGTTGGCGTATAATAATAGAACAGTTAACGGTCTTTTATGAAGGTACATCATAAATTTTGTTATTAAAATCATCATTTTTTTGATCATACTATTTTACCTTTCGACTTGTCATTTTTTTGACGTTTCAAAGACATACATACGTTTTCGGATTCAAAGGTGACTCGATTGCATATTATCTTATTACTCGATATAAGAAGATAAATCAGCCTGTATGTATCCAAAGCTCCAAAAATACCGTGCGATCAAAAAAAAATAGAGTAGGCCTCGATTAAATTCTACAGTTGGCAACACATTGGCTGGGAATCTGTGGAAATTTTCCACACAAACTGAAAGTGAAAATGACGATTCACCGTTTTCGTTTTGTACAGCATTTTTGTAATAACTTACAACAATAAAAATTTTCTGCTCTAAAGTGAACATTATTTCACTCAAAATGAATAAAACGCAAACTTGTCAAAGTTTCCGCTGACATTTGGCAATCAGGATTGCCATCTGAAGGACTTTAATCACCGCCTACTCTAATTTATTTTATTCTGATAGTAGGCAAAGATTTTTATGGCAAAACCGACAGAACCAACATTTTGTCACCTAGCAACAATCAAACTAATTATCAAAATGGCATGTGGACATTGTTGATTTGTTGTTGCCTGGCAACTGTCTACATGTAGCCTTAGTAACCATCATGTGTGACACCATTATAGCCATAGCCTGCTTGTTTTGCAACGCAAATCGACAAAATTAACAACAAAAACAAGTGTCTACACCAAATCTGAAAACATGTCACTTTACACAGTAACGGTTATACATATTTACAAAAAAAAAGTAAATTTGCTTATATGTCTGCTTGAAAATAAAAAAAGTTTAACATTCACTTATAAAATACATATTTATCATACAATTAAATATTTGTTTACAAATATATAGCATATCAACACGTGGCCTTTGCAACTCTCAATCGTGACATTACTTCGAAACCGCCTGCTTTATTTTTTAGCTCCAGGCTCACATTTACAACCATATTAACGGTTTAGGGGATTGGAAGAGTGTCTCAAAGACAAAATAAGCGCATTTCTGAACCACTTTTCCCAGAGAAAGCAAAGTTGTGTCTCTTTTGACGACTAAGTGATATAATTACTAGCACACGTTCCCGTGGGACTGCAGACGATGGAATTGGTTGAAATTGTTGATTGATGTGTACCTCTAATTATGTCCAAATCCATCACGAGTCCGCTAATAAAATTTTATCTCGATTTATCTATTCACAATTCCCCGAAGCGCTTCGCCTTTGAATACCAAACAAATAGTCGATTCTTATTCTCCTCTCGTCTGCATCTAGTCTGTCATCTCACCGCCGGTTTTTTCCTCGCCATTTTCCCCCTCCCTCCGCAAATTTGCCAGATAATAGATAGTCGGGGGATCCCGGGGGATGCACGTGTCGGCCACGTGCCGCCCTCCACCACTACGAATTAGGCGGTTTGTTTACACGATGGCCATTAGTGTGTCGTATTTTTAGTCCGAAATGGATTTTTTCTCATTCGCGGTCGGTTATTTCGAGACGCGCGTTGTCGTCGCTTCTCTTTCACATTCATAACTCAATAATGGTGTTGTTGACCTATGCTGCATCGCAGGTTTTGCATTTATTTCTTGTCGAAGGGAGGGTTAAAATGGTTGTTTTATTGGACAATTAAAGAATTAACAGCAGGGGTTTGGTGACTGGCGATTTATCTTAGTCGCGATTGGTTTTGGATGAAATGAGGATCCGCACTGTTGAGTCGTCCTTTTTTTTTTAATTAAGAAAGCAAAAAGTTGGGCTTTCTTTGTTTTGCAACGCGAGGTTGGAGAGTGCTCCAAACGGAGATAAGATCTAATTAAATAAAACAGTTTATAATGAGGTCGTTGTCTCTAAATATATTTATTTCCATTACGGAGAGAAAATATTGCTTTAAGCCCTTGGGGCTATAGGTGAGTTTCTTTCAAAGCTGCACCATCAGTACTTATTGTTCCTTCTTATCTTGATGTGTAGTGTTGAAAGTTTCTCAAGACGTCAGATTTTTCACGAGTCCCTAATCCACAAAAACTTGCCACCCTTGTAAGTACAAGTCGTCGAGAGTCCTCATGAAAATAAATTTTCGTTGGAGAAGCCATCAACAGTGTATCTGTGTTTTTATGGTACGATAGTGAATAGAACAAGGCGGGGACCCTTATCAAAGGGTTCGTAATGAATAGTTGCCCTGTAGACAATAGTCCGGCACGATTAAAGCTTTAAAGGGTCCGAAGGGAAAAAATCGGCGCTTCCGCCAGCTGCTACCGATTTTTAATGGACTTTTATACAGTTTGAGTAGGTTGTTTACACGCCACCAATGCAGGAATATTATCGCCGAAAAACTAGTACGTTTGCAGGATCGCTATAATAGCCTATTAGGCCCGATGCCAATTTCTATTAGCTGTGTTTACACACTCGCTCTTAATTACAAAATACGAATTTCAGGTTGCAGGCCTTGGAAGTGATGAATGGCCATAATTTCGGATTGTGCATTATGGGAACAAAGATATTCCAAATCTATTCAAAGGGGGACAAAGGATTATCATTGAATCATTACAGTAACGAATTGCGCTATTACTTATATTTGTCGAAGCTTTATCTTGCGTATATTGTATACAAGGGGTGGGAAAGACGGTGCTTTATAACCCGTTATCTAAGATTAATATCCCCAGTCCTAATCCCACCCCCTTCCGGTGGTGAAGCTTCTACTACCCAAAGAATTACTGCAATGTCTAGGTTCATTACACTGTGGGCATTTTTTGTCTTTGAATTACATACCGTAAATCGGGGTTACTCTGGCATGAGGGGTTTTTGTTGTAACTTTCTTATTTGTTGCAATATTTTCTTACAAAAATTAGCATCAGAACAATTGATCCTTCTGCTTTAACAAACTTAAAATTTTGCCTCAAGGTCATAGTTTTTCCAAAAAAAAATTAGAAAATTTGGTGTCAATTTTGATCGTCCCTTTAATTACGTTGAAAATCGAAGTTATGCTAGTCTGGGGGTACTTTGACAACTTAGAACTAAAAATATGTAACATATGATGTAGTAATCTCATTAAACACAAAACATAAAGTGAATATTTTCTTAAAAAAAAACTAAATAAGTCATTTTTTGGTATGTTAGGGCTTTTATATGGTATAAAAATAAAATAAACATACTTTCGGTAAAGATGAAACAAAATTAGTAGTCCCATAACGAGTCAAAGTAACCCCATTTTACGCTATTTACCGAAAAAACTTTTTGATTGATCAAAGTCTTACTAAAAACTAATAAAGTCACTTTAAAACGTAGTTTTCATCCCTTAAAATAATTAAAAACTTGTATATACGGTTTAAAAAGTTTATATTATTAAAAAAAGATACTCTGTGTAGTCGAAAATAATTTTAGCAACCCAGTATTCACTTAAAAGACAACCTAAATAAATTTTTCATATGCGTATTTGCCTCTTTAAAAGCTGTTAAAGAATATTTTGGATGAAAATTATTCAAGTTTTTTTGAAAAGAAAAAAAATGGAAAACCAAGTCGATCCATCCAACGAAGACTAATACAAAAAATGGCAGATTTCAGTTGATCTAAATAAAAATCTTCAGCCATTAAAATTATAAAATCTTTAAGTGTTTATTTCTCAGTTGAATATAAAATGAATTATACAAAGTGCGCCAGAATTTGTGCCAGAGAGAAAATTGCCATGTAAGGTCAGGTACATGAAAAAAGTGTTCTATCTATAAAAATTTCGCAGTGATGGAAGATTAAAATTTGCTCATTGACTCTAAGTATTTATTTCTGTTGGAAAAATAGTTTTCCAAGTTTTTTTGCTACAAGCTATTAGAAGAGGGAACAAGAAAACTGTATCCTAAATTGTAACTCTGTTTAATGATATTTGTGGCTTTTATTACGAAAATTTTTGTATATTTACTAAATAATTATAAAAAAACTAAGAAAAAAAAATGTTTTTTGTATATTATACAAGATCATCAGTATCATTAAAAAGACATAAAAAATGTCAAATGTCACAGATATAATAAAAAAAATTTTTTTTCCATATTCCTGGTATCTTATTTTACTTGAAATTTTTCTTTTTTCCTTCCCTGTATTTTTATTAGCGGTATTCTGTGCCACTGTGAGGTGAAAGTTTTAGAATATTGCCATGCCCCAAAAATTTCTTTTGAATTACAATTTTACCGTCAAATATTCGTTTTTTATCGCGCAAAAGGGTCAATTTTCGAGTCAATGTTTCAATTAAACTGATTTAACTTTTAAAATTTTTTATGTAAAATTCCGTTGTACGTGCTTTCACGCGCCGTTTCCACGTCAATCTCGTAACAATTCCATTTAATAGCCCACGATAAGCCTCCGCTTAATTTCTGGTACCGTTTTAAAAAATCGCATTATCTTTCGTTTTGCATTCGAAATCGGATCACTTTCGATAGTCCACGCAAACTTGCAATAATTTATCAAAAAAACGTCCAGTCGTGTTGTGTCTCATCCGGGGTTAAATGTCATATTCAAGTGTGATAAGAGTACCATTTTTGCAGAGCATATAAAAGGACGTGAACCCGCTTGTCTCCAGTTCCATAATCTTTAGCGGCACGCGATTGGAGGGAATTGTGTCACGTGATCGGGATACCGTTTGCAAAATCGTGAAGTGAGCCAGACTTCATTGAGACAGTGCTAATGTCGGTGTAGGTACAACATTCAAGATTGTAAGTGTTGCGTGAAAGGTGAGTTTCTAACGGATTTAAATTTGATTCTAATTGGCGTCATTTATTCTATTCATGAAGCGCGCTATTGTATGAAAAATTTCTACTTCCTGTTATCTATTCAGTTATCTATTGCTGTTTTTTTCTCGATGGGATGATGTCCCCGAGCAAAGTTCGACATGTGGCGATACTAGACTTTCTTATCTTGAATTCCAGTGCAATGTCGGCCCAGACCATTACCACAACGGAAACTTCCCAAAATGCCCACAAACCGCAGCAGTACCAATGGAAGATGGTCTGGAGGAACATCATCCTCTACATAATAATGCACATCACTGGTTTCTACGGACTATACCTTGCCGTGTTCCATGCCCAATGGAAAACAGTCTTTTACAGTAAAAACCTAGTCTAGGTTTCATTCCTGGTACTACAATCCCTAAATTCTAGGTTGGTTCCTTCTGATCATAGCCCTGCAAGGAGTAACAGCTGGCAGTCACCGACTTTGGGCCCATAAGGCCTACAAAGCGCGATTACCCCTTCGTATGCTACTTTGTATTTTCCAAACCTTGTCCCTTCAGAACCATATTTACGACTGGGCAACGTACCATCGCGTCCATCATAAATACGTTGATACCAATGCCGACCCACACAACTCCCGTCGAGGGTTCTTCTTCTCCCATATGGGTTGGTTGTTCATTGAACCCCACAGAGATGTGGAAGATAAATACAAATCGATCGATTTTAGCGACTTAGAGGCTGATTCGGTGGTCATGATCCAAAAAAAGTAAGTACAACTTATGGTACCACTTTAACACTCTAACCACGACTTGTAGGTACTACCACGTATTTTTCGCTCCAGTTATCGGATTTTATCTACCAGCAGCAATTCCGTGGTACTTCTGGGGGGAAAACTTCTGGACTGCATTTTTCGTTGCATCCATGCTCCGGTATTGCGCTTGTACCAACATAACGTTCCTTGTGAACAGTTGGGCCCATATTTATGGGTCCCGTCCATACGACAAGTACTAATCACAATGCCTGGGAGTACCATTATGGTTAAATTGTTTTTTTAGGAACATTTATCCGACTGAAAGTCCCACTGTTGCGGTCTTGACCGGTGGTGAGGGTTGGCACAACTACCATCACACATTCCCATGGGATTATAAGACCGGGGAGTTTGGGAAATACAGGAGTAACCTTACTACCGGTTTCCTTGACTTTATGGCCGCCATAGGCTGGGCCTATGACCTCAAAACCGTGTCAGAAGAAATGATAATGAAGAGGGTGGTAAGAACCGGCGATGGTACTAGGAAATTTGATAAAATCGATAAAATACTCAATGCGGATGATGACCACCACCATGAAGACATGGTTTGGGGTTGGGGGGATAAAGATATGGCCAAAGAAGAAATGAATTATGTCAAAATACACAATCGGAAAGAAGACTAAATCTAGTTCGTTAATTAATTTATTATTATCAAATGGTTTACTTTGAGGTACTCCAGGTCAAGTCATTGAACAATAGATAATAAAATTTTTAATTTATCTCCTCGTTTTATTTCGTTTGTAACAACTAATAACCGAAATTTTAATTAGAGGCCAAAGGTGAGGGTGTTTCTGCACCCTCGACATCTCCGACTTCGCAATAAAACCGAACAATAAAAACCTTAATATGAACATACAAGAGTCAATAAAGCCAAAGTTACGTAAGAGGGTGGTTTTATGGGGGCACTAAATGATATGCATATTAAGGTGCGGTGAATACAACACTGGAGGGAGCGATTCAATTCCCATTATTAGCGAATTTTTTCTCGTCACAATGAAACCAAAACAAAAAGAAGAGATTGGAGCACTTAATCTGCTGCATCAGACTTAAGAACATTCGTTTTCATAATCAGATGTTTCACATTACACGGTGCCCTGTTATGTGGCATAATCTGATATTCTTCAGTGGTAAAAAATTTAAAACGGAACATAAAATTTATATTTATGATGACAGCCTGCATTATTTTTAATGCAAGCTATTAATAAGTTAATAAACAAATGTCAGAGTTATTTATCGCGTTATTAAGGTTTTTTATGCAGGACAGTTAATGGAAAATTGTTTCAGAAGATTGGACGGTTTCAGCACGAGAGATTTATTTTTGCTCAAACGGGAAATAAAAATTGACGCTGAAACTGATTTTTTCAGTTCAGTCAAAATCTTTCATGCAAAAATCAAATCAAAAGTAAATTTCCAGCGAATCCTCGTGCTAATTATTGTTTTTTTTTTGTGTTTCGCGATGCTTTTAGTCGTTTTTGTAAATTTCTGGGTTGTGCAAGTTGTCCTTGCGGAACCTCGGAAGAGAGCAAACACAATTAAGAGAAACTAAAAGCGGGCGTAATTGATATTTTAATGGATTTATCAAGTTTTGCTGCAGTGGAGCGATGTTGAAAGGTCTGAAGTGCTCACAAACATACTCTTTCGTGTGTATTCTCGAGTCAATTTGTCAAATGGGCATCATTAGCATAATCGCAAACATACGACGTATTCAGAAGCTCGACAGTCAATATTTGTGTGCGGCTACCAGTCTCTTCTCTGAACCAACAACACGCCTAAAAAATTTTCTTTACTTACTGAATTTATTGCCGCTTTGAATAATAAACATTCGGGTTTTATTGCCGGCCGTGTGAAGGCAAAGAGACATTAAAAATCAAAAATGACTTTACGGAGAAGTGAGCCCACGCAGTATGAATTTGGGCTTTATCTGGTTTTAGGGTTGGTGCAATTATATCACTGAAACCATTCACGTCATCGTCGCTTGCATATCGGTGGAAATTATTTATGGCTTTGGCATTAGGACTGGTATATTAGATAAAACGCCCTTCATCCCTAGGGATAATATTAGTGCTAGGAGCAAGCAAATAAAGCTTACATGTCCGAGGGTGGCATTGGGGATACTTACAATTTTCCAACCCCCGATACTAAAACCGGTATTAGCGCTATTAGACATATCTGGTCCAACAGTCACGCCAATTACTGAAATCTGCCATCAAGTTGTCTGCTAGGGACAGCCAGTTCGATTGCAATAATACAGAATTACGTTATTAGCTGAAAATTCCATTATCGCTGACTAAAGCCACTACTGAATGGGTTGTATGTCATAATTGTGGTCATACGCTATTGTTTCGGGGAGATTGCATGAGACAAGTTCGTGTTAGTGACCTTTGCTGGACATTTTCTACATTATTATGGCACTGCAAAATGTGCAAAGTTTGCCCACTTGAAGTCAAACGATAAGGAAGTTCAATCTCAACACTTCCTTAATCATTCCAAATAATGATGAAACTTGCAAATCAACAAAAAGTTGTGATTTTACGTGAAAATTAAACCATGAAAGTCAGATTTTTATTATTTTGACACTTCCATTACTTAGACTCATATTCTTAAATAAGAGAAATGAAAAGAAACAGGACTAAATATCAAAACTACATTTTCGAAAATAACAAGATATTTATCTGTTTCTGTTTCTAATGAGTCACTTATCGACTAGAAACTAGAAAAAAATCGAAAATGCAATCAAAAAAATAATTTTATAAAATTGATTTCAAGTTTTTTCAAAAAACTTATTTTTCAAAAAATATACGAATACTTGAAAATTTTACAAAAAACGCATGCTTTTGTTATAAATTTTGCGAAGAAATTCTTGTTAACTCTTAGAACTTTGATTTTAATTTTCTACCCAAGAGTACGTAGTGTAATAAAAAACAAGTGCAGTTTGTGACAAATGCACAATGACGAGAGATTATATGTGACAGTTAAGATGTATGCAGCATTCAAATCGGTTGAGAATAGCTCAAATGATGGCAAAAGTATTGCAAAAAGTGTTGTTAAAAATAGTGTTACAAAGTTGCATTTTATTTTAAAAATTAGTCCCTCAAGGTCTTATGAAACGAGTTTTTTATACTATTTTTGTAATTTACTCTAAAATTTTAAATAATTTAGTCTTCTTTTGACTATAGATGTCACGTTTTTTAATATATCCACTACCTATTATTACAATCAAAATAGAGGCAAATTACAAAAAATGCTCCTTGTGACACTAAAAGTAAAAAAATAGTTTATTTTTTTTTTAATATGTAGAAAATCTGTTTTGTGATAGATACTTTATCTAATCTTCCCCAAAATCATCATTTTTGAGGGTTTCTAAAAAAAACGTTATAACCACAATGTTCAACCGAAATTTCTAAACTGAAACAGTCATTTTTCTCCAAATTTTCTTTTTTGCGTTTATTTTTAATAAAAAACCGAAAGATCTACCATTAAAAGTTTTCTAAACAGCTTTCTACACACCATTTTTATAAAATTATTTTCAGGTTTTATTCATTAAAAAAAAATACATTTGAAAATAAAAAACGCATCCTTTTGCTATAAAATTTACGAAAAAATTCTTGTTAAAAAAACAACTTTGGTTTTTATTTTCTAGACAACAAAGCATTTTTTTTTCCTTTTTTGAAAAAATATAGGGGAAATTTTTTATAACAGATACTTTATTAAAACTTCTCTAAAATCATTGTTTTTTAATAAACACAGTGATTTTAAAATTATTTTAGGTAGGTTTTTGCGGAAAAAAATCAATCTCCTAATTTTCTTTTCTGCGTTTATTTTTAATAAAGAAATTGAGAATTGGCTATTAAAACACATACTTCAAATGCCTTCATAACAACTTTTGATTTTAGAATTAGGTTTGTTTTGTAATTTATTTTATTCAAAACCTCCTTAAAATCATCGTATCTTTAATGACAGTTTTTATGCCAAATTTCAAAATTTTTGAGTAAATTCTTGGTTTCTAAGAATTATTTTAAAAATTTTAACTGTTTTTCACTTCCACACAAACTTCCAAAAAATTTGATTGATTTAGCTCCTCGAGCAAACAAAAAATAGAAATAAAGAAACACGAGCGATACAACATTAACGCCTCTTGTTACAATTTATGACAATTCACTGATAAGACAAGCATAAATGAAAACTGAGAAGGTAACGGTCATCAATAAATAACAAGATATAATTAAGTCGATAATAGGAATGAAGAGACCTCGAGACTGCCACTCCATGTATTTATTTTTATGATTTATTTTTAAATGTAAATAAAAATTCAAAACCGGCCAAGCTAAGAAAATATCTTCGCACCATACCCTAATCCTACTTTATAAAACCATCAGTTGAATTTTTAACGACCCTCGTAAAATTCGATAGTTGGTTTTTAATTTTAAGCTAGCTAGTAGGGACACTATAAAAGAGACGTTAACGGGTCTTGTTTCAGAAGCAGAGAAATCAAATTTATTTTCATTGTAAACTTTTTAGGGAAAGTTACATTGTGAACTATTTTCTGCTAAAAAATTGTAATTAATGAAATCCCCCACTTCTCTCCTGAAGAATGCAGCAATATGTCTTAGCTTTCACTTAATTACTATTATTACCAACTATTGCTTTATTGAAAGCTTTGAGCATTGAGTCTGTTCCAATATCAGAACTCGTTTCAAAAAATCTCCGTTCACTGTTCTCTCGCAATTAATTAAACTTAGAAAATTGTATTCAATTTTTTCCCAAATGGGGAAAAGTTCTATTACTTTTTCATTTGAGCGATTCAATGTATGTTTCCCTGGTCCAATATATCGTTCGTGTATTTCCTAATTGAATCACGCGAAATCCCGCAATCGATTGCATCGCATATCCAATTAATCGGCGCCATTACCGTTCCCGTTTTTGCGTTTCAATTTGCGGTCCGGTCCTGGACGGCCCGTAAACCTAATCAGAGCAATAAAAGTCGACCAACTGGCTACATAATTACATAAATCCAGAGTTTCGAGTGCATCAACAACCCTTTTAATTACGTGGAACGCGTGCATTTTTCTCTATAATTTTCCGGTCTGACTCGAAGGCAAATCCCAGATAAGTTGAGAGACGGCTTGTAAGTCTATCTTTGCGGAGAAAATTGCGACTCGGAAACGGTTTTTTATTACTTTCATTTCGAATTCATCTTTTCATTTGGCGCTGGATTACTATTCATTTCGCCGGAGCTCCGCTCCGGCTCCACATACGCCTTCTTTATTCTTCTAATTTCACGACATTTGTCATAATCCTTCCCGGACTGTTGTTTCCGGGTGATGGATGAGACGTACGCGCGCCTGGAATTTTATTAAATATCGCGACGAGATTTTTTCGCTGCTCCGAAACGACGCTCGGTTTTTTACTTAATGAAGAAGGTTCTTTATTAGAGAATTTTGGCCAAAAAGGTATTGGAAAGTTATCAATTGGGGAGCGAGTTTTTTACGTATCATCGAACGAGGGCCAATTCCAGTAAGTCAAGAGTGAATCGTCCCAAAACAGATAGAGGAGATAACGGAAAAACCTCCCGACACGAAATTGCTTTTTAAAATGTCTCCCTTCGAGAGGATTTACGAGCGCAATTTGTGCTCGCTGACTGTTGCGATTAGAGAGCGTATTAAATTATGTTAATAAGCACAAAACGGTTCTCAATCATGTTTATTTATAAAGCGACAAA